CGACGCGGGGGCCACTGCGCTATAAGCTGACGTGGCGAAGGGACAGCGCCCGACAGGGAACGCGGAGGGGAGAGGCTGGCTGCTGACAAACGTGCAGTGGGTGGAGGGAAACGTTCGCTCTGAGCGCAGCGTAGCCAGGGCTCTGGCGACGCGGGGGCCACTGCGCTATAAGCTGACGTAAGCGCCCGACAGGGAACACGGAGGGGAGAGGCTGGCTGCTTACAAACCGCTGTGGGTGGAGGGAAACGTTCGCTCTGAGCGCCGCGTAGCCAGGGCTCTGGGAGGGACGGGTGGTGGCAGGAGCACAGCCAAGACCTTAGCTTCGCCCTTCCCGTGTGGCTCAGCTGTGTGGGGCGTTCGTGGGCACGGAAGGCTCTGTTTCCGGTCAGGGCACGTGCCCGGGGTGCAGGAGCCATCCCCAGTGCGGGGCGTGCAGGAGGCAGCCGATCCATGATTCTCTCTCATCATTGATGTTTCTCTCTCTCTCTCCCTCTCCCTTCCTCTCTGAAATGAATAAAAACATTTCTTTTTTAAGGAGATTGGGTTGGATGTCTTTAAGTTCAAATCCTGACTCCACCCACTGCTAAGCAGTCTTCATTTCTGTGCCTCCGCTCCCTCGTCTTTAAAATAGGGACTGTGATAGTAACACGGTATAAGACTGTTATGAATATTAAATGACATGGTAGGTACAAAATGCTTAGAACAGTGTCTGGCATTAAGTGTAGATTTCCTTCATCAAAAACTTAATATTTGTCAAAAGCTCCCCTAAAAGACCCCACATTCAAGGAAATTTACTTCCAGGACATTCGATTGAGCCTTTGGAACACACCCCTGATCAAGCCAGACCTGCAGCAGGGAATGCGGCGCCGAGGCCTCGCTGTTTGAGAACTGCTTTTCCTTCCTGGTGCTCTGGCGTGAGGCCCCTGGCTGTGCTGTGGCCGTTTTTTCAGATCTGATGCGTGTGGTTCAGGCCGTCCCGCGGGACTCGTCTGGGGGAGCCCTGTGGCTGGTCAGGCTGACCTTACCCTCTGGGCACCTCTGCCCGTCCTGCGGAAAGCTGTCCCGAGGACACTGCGTGGGAGCCTGAAGGCGTCCCTCTGGACTCGCTGCTGGGCCCCCCCGCCGCTCTGCGGGCTCCCCGAGGCATACGTGGGGCCATCGAAGCGCACCTGGAAGCTCGTTTCCCACCCTCCTCTCTCCTCATTCTCCTGCTTTCTGACACGCGCCGTCTGTGTGGTGTGACATCTGTCAGCTGCCCGGCCCTCAGGACTGAGGATGGTCAGCGAAGCCAGTGTGCTGAGTAGCCGTGGTCGGTCCACGTAGTTCATGTCGTTTCCGCAGCAGAGCCGGTCCCTGTAGGCAGAAGCTGGAGAAGTGACTCTGCTCGTGTTTGCCCTGAGGCCAGGGGTGACCCTGAAAATGGGCTGCGGGGGGAGGGAGGGGGCCTCGTCCTGCACAGCATCCACGGGGTCCGGGGGGAGGCGGGGGGCACAGCCGAGGAGGAACCACACCCAGCCCCATCAGCTTCGGTGGCTCTCAGCTGGGATGCACGGCTTTCCCGTAAGACCCCTGCCCGTCCCCTGGGCCTAGTTTTTCCTCCACTATCAACTGACCCAGAAAGCACAACGCTTGGGGGCACACAGGGGGACATCTGTAACGCGCTCAGCAATAGAGATTTCTTTAAGCACAACTCCTATCACGCGTCTCTGAAAAACAATTGCCACAAAAGTGCTCCTCACACGCCAAGAGGCTCAGAACCAAACGCCCTCCCGTCCGAGGAGTTTAGATATGAAGCCTTAGAGGGGGTCCGAGAGGCCCACAGACACATCCTCCGTGTGAGGCGCGCGTGCGTGGGCTTCGGGCCTGTGAGGTTTTATTCTGCTCGTGGTCAGGCCCACCACACCCCTGAGGGCCCCGCGCATCCGGGGTGGCTGGTGTCTATGGTTTCCGTCCCCAGAGGCAGCCGTCAGCTCTGTGATCGTCTCCGGCTTCTTTGACGTCGGTGCTCAGGTGCGTATTTGTGAGTCTCTTACTCGGGCGCCTGGGCCTGTCCAGTGGCCGTCAGAGGGCCTGGTGCTGTGCTCTCTGTCACCAGGCTTACCTGTCCCTGGAGCAGGTGTACTCGCTCATCAGCGAGGGCAGATTGCTGTGGAAAAGATAATGCCGGCCCCTCCAGGAGAGAACTGGTAGGCGTGGGGGGTGCAGCAAACTTACCGCCATCACGAAGGATTATTCCAGATCAGTGCCGCCTCCCAGGATTGGTGGGAGCTGGTGTGTCACTCTTGTTTCCTGTCTTTATATTTCTGTCCTCGGTGCTTCCATTCTGGTCGTTATTAAATTCATATGGTGGGAGTTCATCATTCA